TCGAAAATGGGCCACCCTGTATAATATCTCGAAAACGGTGCGTTTTTGAAAAAAAAAGTTCAAACAAAAGTTACATGGTATCATAGGGGAAACAAAATGGCGTTACTGATTTTTGACATTGATAACGTTTTCAAGGTTATTTCAAGGTCAACTCTTTTCTTTTTTCAATAGAAACGTATTTTTTTTTATTGCAGAAACTTATTCTACGGAAAAAAACAAGTAACTTTTACTTGAAACATTTTTCGATCCGGATTCAATTTGAGCTGATAAAAAAGAACGAATCATTGATTTTTTTTTTCCTCCTCACAAAATCGGAAAGTAGAGAAAGGTTACCATATTAAAAAAATATCTCAAAAACTATAACAATTGTTCAAAATGATAACTGCCAACTTCAACACACTTGTCAATTCACTTTAAAAATCAAATAGTTTATCAAGAGGTTCCCACAACACCGGAAATATGAAGGAACGCATAAGAAATGTTTAGAGCTGTCAGTAAAGAAACTCTAATTTGGTCCCATGAAAGCTTTTTACAGCGAATTGAAAAGTGTGTTGAAGTTGACGGATGTCACTTTGAACAATTGTTATAGTTTTTGAGATATTTTTTTACTATGGTAACCTTTCTCTACTTTTAGATTTTGTGAGGAGGAAAATTAAAAAAATTGATTCGTTCTTTTTTATCAGCTTAACCCGTCATCACACGCGTCAAAAAACTTACGTCATTACACGCGTTCGGTCAAATCGACCGACTGCCCAAAAGTGTATATAAATTATTAGATTTTTTCATGGAGACGATCCCAAACGTATCCTGAACGCTAAGGCATGACCTAGTCCAGAGCAATTAGGGGTCAGGGGTAAACCAATTAGCTTAAAGCTGCTACCACCATTATTCGATAGCTCTTAGGTTCCCTATGAGCATACTAAAAGTCTTCATTGCTGTGATTAGGGGAACATCCCCAAATCTGGTCCGCCATCTTGATTTTTCGCACTTTTTCCTAGTTTGCTTCAATATCTTGAAAACAAATGGGAATTTGAAAAATGTTCAATAGAACTGGATATAAAATAGGTCTGAGCCCTACTCGACACGTTCCTGGTTCCTTTAAAGATTTCAGATTAGCTGAAATGTTCGATACATAAGAAAAGTTCTTATTTCCAGCATGTAACTCTCTGGAAACTAGCCCGCGACCTTGCATTTTCAACCAAATTCTACAGGATTGAGATTATTTCCTTACCATTGTTGTATTTGGTAATACACTATTGAGCAGTGATATTTTAAAGAGTCTGGGGAGCAGACAGACGGAGCTCCGAAGGATGCCGAACGATATTCTGGCTAAATTCATCAAAATTTTGCATCGATCCAGTGTGAAATGGTCCCGGGTTCGATTCTCGTTGAAGGCAATGCATTTTTTTTTCAGGTTTTTTTTTCTTTAGGGTTTTTATTTTTCTTTTGAAGGATATTAAAAGGACGGGTTAGTTTGGATTACTTTTGATTTGCACTGTTTCGTTAAAAATACCAACATACAAAGACTAGCACTTATCACGAATTACGGAGCTTCACCTGTCTGTTCCCCAGACTCTTGTTTGATATTTGAATGCACTGTAGGTGGAAGAGTTGGAAGTTCAGGCAATGGACGATTGCGCGCAGGGTCAAAAAAAATTCAGGTATCACTGGTACCAAGGGCCGATAGCGCGCCGAGACCCTTTTACAATATGGGACGATTGCGCACCTACCTCGTTCTATAGAAACTAGAAAAAGTTGAAGGAAAACACATTTGAAGAGGAAACATTTGTTTTATTTTTTCACAAACTTATAGGATACGCTTTTTATGAATTCGAAGGGCTTCTTCAGCAAACACATTGCCAACTCCAGCCGGGTCCAAATACAATAAACCAAATGTCCAGCAGTCCAGCGTGACTATTTGCCTATGAGTCTAAATTACGATATTCACTAACTAGCCCTAGGCTTTATATTTTTCTAAACCACGACTGTATTAAATGAAATCTACATCCAAATATTTCATTCATTATAAAATAGACCAATCAGACAACGTCATTTTTTGAATAAATTTTGTTTAAATAAGTGATTATTTCACAAGAGCTTGTTTATCAGCGATTAAATTTTTGTTTACCTTTTTTGACAGAATTTTGATAGAAATATTCTGACATTTTATAATAAATAGAACTTTTTGTTGGCTTCAATCCTAATTATTCAGGAAATAATCTGGTCGTATACCACTCGACCTATAAATTTAAATGAATTAAACCATCCAAATATTTTTTGCATAATTTTGCTTTTTGGCAAATAGTTTCATGCACAATAACTATCGATTTACAATAATCATTTAATAATTGAAAATCCTCACAATAACTTACAATAGGCTTAAATTTTCCTTGTTTATACATTCCAAATGTGGTATCACAACCGCCAATTGTATGGATAAATGAAATTTCACTTATTACTGGCCCTAAAGCTTCTTGAAAAAGTAAAATTTCGGTAATTTTGATGGCTTTTTTTGGTGACTTTGGTTTCCAGGCCGTAACATAAAAACGTTGTTATCTTTAACAAAATGGAGCAGTATTACCATGAAGTCTGTGTCTTGACCAACAACTGTCACAGTAGTCGCCTTTTCCCTCAAATTCAAAGCTGTTTGGATGATAAAAACATCTGCATCTGTTTCTGCTTGTTTTACACTTTTGTTAGATGTCAAAAGGCTTACAGTGTAATAAACATTTTTCTATTGTTGGTGTTAGTGAAAAAAAATTCTTGATTTACTGTTGCAACTACTGAGTCAGATATCACAATATCAGCACAAGATAATTTATTAGTTCTCCGTATTTTTTCCAAAGATGAAGTAAGTAGTAGGTCAACCATCATACCTTTCAAAAACCACTGTACAATTTGAACCATAATGAAACTAAATGAACTTTCCATATTGCTCAAAAATCTCTGCATAGGTGATTTTGTGAAGTATGTAGACTCCATGTATTACAAAAACTCCGTCTATTGGAACACTAGATAACGACTTTCATTTCGTGTCCATATACGTCAAAAGAACTGTATATGTATAGAAAATAATAACAAAAATAGTTAGCCGAAATGGCATAGGTATAAGTGTAATATTTTCAATATTTGGAGGTCTGCAGAGTTATCCACAGTTTGTGAATGTTGTTATATTTCATCGCTCTTACAGAAAAAACATATTTAGAAACTTTTTTGTCTCTTGACAATTTTTGATAAACCTTACAGTGTTCGAGATATTAGTACAAATTTAATAAAAGAACGAAAAATCAAGATAGCGGACTGGATTTGGGGATGTTCCACCAATCACAGCGACGGGGACTTTTAGTCTGTTCATAGGGACACTAAAAACGATCGAACTCGAATGGTGGCAGCTTTAAGCTAATTTGTTGAGGTCAAGCATATACCATTTCATAAGTGCAGGTTTACTAATCAATAGAGACGTTAAACTTTCAAATATTACCTGCGTAAGTCATGCCTTAGCGTTAAGGATACTTTTGAAATTGTTTCCGCGAAAAAAAGTGTACAAGCACTATAATTCCTAAAATTCATAATCATTACAAAGGGAATTATATTATGTAGTACAGTTACCGTATTATCGATAGCCAAAAGTACTCCCAATATCAGAAAATGCCAATTTTGAACACAAATATTTTAGATACTCAGGCTCATGCGCCTAGTCAAAAGCACCGACTATGAAAACAACGAATTATACTTCAACAAAAAACCAAAATATTTTTGGGCCAATGGGTAGTGGAAAACCCGCATCAGGCATTCCTGTATGGACAAAACTGCCACCCTTGTACCAGTGGCGTGATTACTGATTTTATCATTGGTCGGTCTTTTTGACCGACACGCGTGTACTCCCAGGTTAAATTGAAACCGGACCGAAAAATGCTTCTATTGAAAAAAAAAAGAGTTGACCTTGAAATAACCTTGAAAATGTTGTCAATGTCAAAAATCAGTGCCGTCATTTTTTTTCCCCCAAGATATCATGTAACTTTTGTTAAAACTTTTTTTTTCAAAAACGCACCGTTTTTGAGATATTAGACTGTCTCAAGTTAAATGGACCACCCTGTATACTTCCGAATTTATTATGTACCTACTAATCTTTATTTCAAATATAATAAGGTCTTCATATTGCTTAAAGTTTCAACGTTACTTGCTTAGCCTTCTTTTAATTTCTGGGAAATAAATCGCAAGTTAACATTTTCATTTGCCCTGACATTTGAGAAATTCCCTGTGAAGCCATAGAAAAAACTTACTATTTTGTAATAGAGTTTCTTATTGATGCTCTTGTATAGGATATTAAATTAATAATTCTGTTATTACTATTTTATTGTGCTCATGATATCGAAAACAATCCCTTATACACGGATAGGCAAAGAGAAACCAAAAGCTTCTTATAAATTATTAAATCGAAACTTTTATTAAAGATGAAGATCGGTAATAACAGTATATAAGTATATAAAAGCTCTAATTTTTGGTATATTCTATGTCATCTGGAAAGTAATTTTATATAAGTAAGTAGAATTTCAACTTTAACAAGAATCTAACAATAACTTTCGGAGTCTAAGATAGAGTTCCTAAGTGAGTTATAGAGCCACCAAACGAAGTTTGTTATGCAAATGGCCTTAATAAGAAGAGCAATGGGTCTTTAATTGCATAATAGAATTTATACCCAGGCTGTCAGCGAAACTGTACACCGAATTATAAACTGTTAGTACGTACTCTAATATAGAGTGAAATGTAGGGAAAAAAAGTATTTTGAACATGTTTAGCAAGTTGAAATTTGATTATTGGAAGCTGGAATTTTTTAAATGTAATAAACTATTGATTTTGGAATAGAAGTTTCAAATAGGCAATTATTCCAATTCAAAATTCAATCGATGAATAACGTGTTTGGTAATAAGGCGAAAATATTATGTCAAAGATCAATAATTCGAACGAAATTTTACAAACATTCAAAATAAACGTGATAACCATTGCTTTATTAAATAATTTTTGATTTGTTAAAAAGTTTTTGGCGAAATCATCTCTGTAATTATTTGCTGGCTGTGAAAAAATACTTGTATATTTAAGGTAAATAATTACTTTTTTTGAATAATTACATAAATATTGACGTATCATTAATATTATTTGTGTTGTAGAACCAAAATGAAGTTGGTACAATTTATGTTGTGCACTGGCAAAATTCATTTGGGAGTTTTAGAAGGCAAAGAAATTATCGATTTGAATTCGCACTTCCACTGGGTACCGATTGATTTGGTTCGATTTTTGCACGAACACGAACATGCCTACGAGAAACTGAAAGAGTAAGTTTTGGAATTCACTTTTGGTAGTTTTCATTTTCCTCTGCTGTTGATTTGGAATTTCTCAACGAATGTTTTTCGAATTTTTCAAAATTAGGATAAGTTTTTTTTTTTTTGATGCACTGATCTGACTCATTTGATATAAGGTACCTGTCCCAAATAAGGCCATGTTAAGAAGTTTTATTTTTTCCTAACATTATCCATCAAACCCAAGAATAAACACGAGGTTATATGTGAAGTGTTTTGCTTCTATTACTTGAATATTAACTCCAATTTTTTTATTTTTCTATTTAGGTGATGGTTTTTGCGTAAAACAAAGATGCATACGATTGGCCTTATTTGGATCACTATGCTCCTAATAAGGCCACCATTAAAATTTTTTTTAAAATAAATACAATTATTTATAAAAATATGAGAAATAGTAAATAGTACACAAAATAGAACTTAAATGTTTGTCGCATTCCTGAAAAAACAATAATTCCAAGTCCTGGGATGGTGATCCAAATAGATCTACATACAACTAGAACAAAATAACCGCAGCATATCTTGCTTGGTTAGACTCCAGGCATTTCAAAAAACATCACTCAGGTAATAATATGATATATTCTTTTAAAAAAACATTGTGATGTGAGGCCAATAGAACAGTTTTCATATGGCCTTATTAGGAACATGTTACATTGATAAAAAAAAAGTCTGTAACTAGAAACCTAGCAAAGCTATTATTCTGTACTTACTCTGTAGCTTTCTCAATACATAAATGTCCGCGTAAAAATTACATTCGCTCCATTCACTTTATAAATACGCGTATAAACTAATTAGGTTCCAGCCTCAAAGTTATAACATGACATATGAAATATGTGGTTGGCCATTTTTCGACATATAAGGAGTTGCTAGGAACCCTTGCAATAATTTTTGATTTGCATTATAGATTTCTTTTTTAATAATATTGTAATTTTTGGAAATGGGATTCAACATTAAGCAATAAAGGGCACTGGCCTTATTAGGTACATGGCCTTATTTGGGTCAGGTACCTTAGATGAATTTGATTTGAATTCAACCAGAACCGGGAATAAGTAAAATTTCACACTTTTCAATGATTCCAAACAATTTAGATGCAATTTTCATTAAATTCAATAGAAAAATTTGCAAATTTGCATATTTTGATGATTTTCCGAAAGACTGTTATAGGAAAATTTTGACTATTATGTCATGTAAAATCTTAAAAAGGGCACAGACATCAAATAAGTGTTTGCTATTCTCAAGAGGAGTAAGATTTAAAAGCTTTATTAAGTCGTCACAGTTTATATCTTGATAAGGAATATTCATTTTAAGCCCAACTCTCCTAAGAAATTTTCTTTGCACCCTTTCCAAACGAGTGTACGCTGTGTACGCCACTGGTGTCATCCTATTTTTTACGATCTCCTCAACCTTCCTCATTAGTATGAATTTGATCCCATGTACAATTTTTGAATAATTGTCATCTGATTATAAAATTTTGTATATTATCGTATGAATCTCTATTAGTAGGTCGATCGAGTGTACGCCACTGGTATCACCCTGTTTCTGACAACCCCCTTAACTTTCTCCATTGGTATGAATTCAATCCCATGTACAGTTTTTGAATATTTGTCATTTGATTATATAATTTCGTATATTTTCATATAAATCTCCTTTAGTAGGTCGATCGAGTATACGCCACTGGTGTCACCCTCACCCTGTTTCTGACAACCTCCTCAACCTTCCCTGGTATTATAAATCTAATCCTATGTACAGGGTGTTTCCTTATATTTTGACCCCTACCTATAGCTTTAGCTATACGAGGTAGAAAAAAACTTTAAACATGAAAGTTGTAGAGTTTTATGTCTATTATCTTTTGCGAATGTCAAAACGGGCAAATGACAGGTGCCAACCGTCACAATGACAAACACTTGCATTTTTCAAATGAAACACTCTGAGGAAAACCACCTGTTTGAAGTATTATTTTTTTGAATCTTAACTTTTTAAAAAACGTTACTGAATAAAAGTAAATGTTGAAACCATGTAATGCTCTGTGGAATTGATGAGAATACGCAACTAGACTAGAGAACAAGCTGAGCTGGTCCTTTAGACGCGTATCTGTAATTGAATGGGTGATTGGAAAAAGGATAAAATTCCAGTAAACCTTACTTTTGGGAAATCAAATAAAACGTTTTTGCGGCGACGCCGGTAATCAGTGGCGTAGCTAGGCGTCGGCGACGGCCTCGCGCCCTAAGGAGCCTCGCAAAAAATAAGTTACCGAACCCTAAAAACTGGCACTTTTTGATTTCCCGAAATAAAACGGAGAGAACAAATAAACTTAATCCTATACGAAACTTCTTAATCTCATAGAATTCACTGAAAATTATTATTTCTACTGCAAATTAACCTAGAAATCTCAAATCATATGGTTTTTATTTTTTCGATAGATTCTCGGTATTTCGATAAATCGGTAATTGTGGCACCGTTCTTATCACGTATTGTTGGTTAATTAAATTATTTAGCACTTTTCTCAACTGGTAGCCGACCCTCCAACCGAGACATACGTACAGTATTTTGCTGTATTGTACAGGGTGTTTTCTCATATTTTGACCCCTAACTACAGCTCTAGCTATACGAGGTGGAAAAAAACTTTAGGTATGAAAGTTATAGGGCCGTTTTCTCAATAGCAAGTCACCCCCGGGTTAAGGATAACTCCAGGGTAAACATAGCAACTGGACACGCTTACCCTGGAGTTAAAACCAACCTGGAGGTGACTGGTGACTCGCTATTGAGAAACCGGCTCGTAGGTTTTTATGTCTATTATCTTTTGCGAATGTCAAAACGGGCGAATGGCAGGTGCCAACTGTCACAATGACAAACACTTGCATTTTTCAAATGGAACACCCTGAATATTTTTGGCTAGAATGATAGCTTTTTTTCTTCTGATTCAGTGGCGGCTCGTGACTATTTCAAGTGAGGAGGCTAATTACAGTATAGAATTTCATGAAATTCCTCGGAATTCCACTAAGATTTCAATTTCAAAATTCCATATTTTTTTTTTAACTTTACTAAAATTCCTCAAAATTTTACCACTGAAATATCCTGGAATTCCACAAAATTTTCATAAATTTTTTTGGAATTTCATGTAATTTCTTAAAAATTTCTCGGAATTCACTAAAATTTTAGAAGAATATCCACGTTCATAACCGAAAATTTCTCGAAAGTCCAATGAAACTTCAAGGAATTTTCAAAATTTAATTTATTTTCATAAGAATTTTTCGGAATTTCACTGAAATTCTCTTTTAATAGCCAGGAATTTCTGGGAATATTAATGAAGTTTCAAGTAATTTCTTAAAAATTCATCGAAATATATTGAAATTTCATGTTATTACATGGTAATTTTTCGGAATATCACCCAAATTCCATGTTTTTAGCTGGAAATTCCTCGGCATTACTAAAATTCAGTAAAAACTGAAATTTCATGTTGGGAATTTCGGTGTAATTTTATGTAATTGTTTAAAATTCCTCCATGTAATTCATTTAGGATTTCGTGTAATTCGATCGGAATTTCACTGAAATTTCAAGTAATTCGAGAGGAATTAAAATTAAAAGTGAATTCTATGGAAACTCCGTAAAAATTTCACATCTAATTCCTTTTTCAGAATAACATAATTATTCTACCGAAATTCCACTAAATTATGGAATTCTGAGATTTTAATAGATTTTTGGGGATTCCAAAGGATATTTGAGAATTTTAAAGGAAATATTTTTCAGAAATGTCAATGATTGGGTTTAAAATAACCTAAAAATCGAGATTTGATAAAAACATATGGCAACGCTGCTCATGATACAACAAACATCAAAAAATTGAAATTTCAAACCTTGGGTTTTTTTGACAATCGATACAAAATGACGTCTTTTTGTTTCAAAGATTACGGCCCGAAGGGCCGAAGTATGAAAAATCAGTCAACAATGAACGGGTTCGTTCGGATAAAACTTTTGTCGCACGACACTTTGACAATATCGACAAATGTCACCTGTCAAATTTGACACATGTTCGACTTTTTTCCCGCTCTGCTATAAAAGCTATGAAAATCAAACCCTGGTACAAGGCAGTTTCGCGACGCCAACTATCGATTTGTGTCAAAAAAAAATTGGCAGCTGTTAACGTCAAAAAAGTTTTTTTTTTTTATTTTACGAATTTCGAGAAAAAAAGTGATAGAAAACGATCCCCGGACCCCAAAAACCTTAAATAAAAATTCCAAAAAAAAAAACAGCGAAAATAACATCCCAAAACCTACTTGATAAAACTAAAGTTTTTTTCACTTACCCCGTTAAAACACGTTAAAAATAAAGAAAACTCAAAGCCTCGTACTTTAAATCGGTAATCGGTTTTTCCGACCAGAAAAGCCCTGGAAAAGCGGACAAATTCAAAGAAAAACCTCTAAAAATGACATTCCAAAGCCTACTTAATGAAATTTGAGTTTTTGTCACTTACCCCATTGGAAAACTGGGAATTTTTAACACAGAATGTAGGAAATTCAAAGCCTCGTATTTCAAATCGGGTTTCTTGACTGAAAACGGCTTGGAAAAGTGGAAAATTCGAGGAAAAACTGAATAGAAATGTAAACACGTCAATTAAAAATTGCCGACTGTCAAAACTGGCAAATGACATTTAAAGGTTCACTTATTGATTATAGTGCGTAAGACAAAGACAATGATAAAGTAGTATATGTTTGCAAAAACCACCGTTTTCTGAAAAAAATAAAAATCTTAAGAAAACCAACATTCCAAAGCCAATTTGATAAAACTAAAGTTTTTGAATATTCCTGACTCTTTGATCGGACGTTAGAAATCGCATTTTAAATACTCCCGGTTTTCAATTAGCTCTAAATTATCTGCTCGCCAATAGAATTATAAACTAGGCCCCGTTATTAAAATAACTCTAGCCCTTCGGGCTCGTATTACTCCGGCCCTTCGGGCTCGCATATAACTCCGGCCCTTCGGGGTCGCATATAACTCCGGCCTTTCGGGCTCGCATATCACTCCGGCCCTTCGGGCTCGCATATAACTCCGGCCCTTCGGGCCGGTATTACTGAGTATCCCAGATTCACAGATATTTGTCGTGGAGGCGCGGGATTGATTGAAATAATGTTATCAGATTTTTCTAAATTACATTAAAATATCGAAAATTGGAAAGTGTAATTTGTTAATTATTATTTCAATTAGAAATCAGGAATAAAAAATTGAGATTGAATTTTCAATTTTTTGGGGGAGGTTTAGCCTCCCCTGCCTCCTTTGACGAGCCGCCACTGTTCTGATTTCAAATATACCATGTATGTTGATAATTGGTTCAGTTGTTTTTTGCGCTATTCAATTTTAAAATTGCATTGAGCAAGCTTCGTCATTGATATTAGAAACCGGGAACAGACCTAATTTAGGGTAATGTGAATGCATTTTTAAACTTGAATAGCGTAAAAACAGCTAAACCAAATATCAACATATATGGTATATTTAAAATCAGAAGAAAAAAATCTTTCATCCTAGTTAAAAATATACAGGGTGTTCAATATAAAAAAATGCAAGTGCTGTCATTATGACAGTTGGCACGTGTCATTTGCCCATTTTGATATATACAAAATATAATAGAGATAAAACCCTACAACTTTTTTATTAAACTTTTTTTTGTATTTTCTTTTGTTTAAGTTGTAGGACCCGCACTAATTATAAGGAACAGACCCTGTACACTTTGACAAAGTACATTTGATGCCAAAGTTCTACCGGTTTATTCCTATCTGGTAACTAGCTACTGGTATTTGAAAGTACAAAAATTGTATCGTTTTTCCACTCGTAATGAAAATTTTATCCTTTTTCCACTCAAAATGCAAAAAAAAATTGAAAAAAAAAATAAGAAAAAATCGACATTTATAAAGAAGTACAGCTGTATGCAACATCCTCTTTTAACTTAAAAGCGCTTTTAAAAACTGGTACACATTTTTAAAAGTGACCAGTTTTAAAAAGCGTTTTTAAGTTAAAAGAGGATGTTGCATACAGCTGGTAGTATTTATTGAAAAAAACAACATTTTAAAAACTCAGATGCTCGATGCCCTGATATAACGCGAAGTTCTAATCCGTGGAAGAACGATACAATTTCAGGAATATTATCCTTTTTCCACTCACAAATCAAATTATGATATGAAGCGGGCCGGCGATTTTATCGTTTTTGCGCTCAGCGGGAAGATAAGAAAAATTAGAATAAAATGGCTATCTCACTTTAATTCGCCATATTTTTAGAATTCTATCCTTTTTCCAATCACCAATTCAATTATTCATTATTTAATTTTTATTTTTATTTTGCATTAAACTGTTCAATCCAATTTGTTATTAGTGTGTGGATCAAGGAGCGATCACAGGTCAGTTGAATAATTGTTATTTTGTTTTTGAGAGTTCAATTATTTATATAAGTATCATTTGTTTCATTTTTATGTTTTTTTGTTTGTTTATGACATTTTTTATAACCATTTGCATTGTTCATGTATTCAACAAAAATCGTTTCATGCTGTAAACAACACAGATAAAGAGTGCCTAACTTAAAACGTAGAAAAAATTATGTGCTGTCTTTTGTGGTAGGATTTTTGGATTTAGAGCGTGCATTAGGGCCTTGTTGAATTTACTAACATTTTCCTATTCTAACGAGCGAATATCCTACCAAACAAAGGAAAGAAATATTGACTCAAAATAACAACTATAGCTGGGTAGCATCCCGTATAGGACCTCAGTACCCTCCGGCAGACCGGCTAACTAATCAAAAACTCTTCAGTATTGATTATAGGTAGTGTTGATTGAATGTAGTGTGTGTAATTGAAATTTTAGCACAAAGACCTGGTACCTAATTCAAACTTTTATTGACTTAAAATTATTGAATTAATGACTAACAATCATTATAAAAATGACACAGTATGTTTCGATTTTTGAGGAATGTTAGATCGAGGGTTTCTCTGCCGTGCTCTTTCCCCTCGTTAGTTCCAGGATGAGAACGGTACGATTTACTTTAATATTAAAGTAGACGTTTCACAAATTTTTCGTTTCTTTTACATATCACAATTTCCCTTAAAGTTTAAGATTTAAATCCCAATCCCAAAGACAAATCCAATTCAATTTTCTTCCCTAATTAGAACACAAAAACATATAAATTTCTAATCATTATTGACGGATCAGATACTCGTTTGAAATATCCACCCCATGTAAGTTCGTGTTCCTCATTTTCCCTTTCCCACAAAGTTGTCCTTCTAATTAACTTTTCGTTTGCGACCGACCGTTTTCCACTTTTCGAATCCTGAATAATGAAGGGTCTGCCACCGAAAACCTCTATATGGCGTGAATGCCTTGATTAGGAATTTGATATTTACTTTAGTGGTTTTCTGGTAGGTATCTAAAAGTTAGGATTATTTTGCTCAAAAGTTTTGTTTCTGACCAATAAGAAAATAATAATTTGATAATTATAGGGTGGCAGCAGATCCATTAAACAAACGGATCCCATTGAACAAAGTCCATTTGTTGCCGCCTATAAAAAGACCCGATAAGATTTTGGGTATCGGACTGAATTACACTGATTTTTGCCGAGAAAACAAAATCCCTCCTCCACCGGAACCGATTGTATTCAGCAAGTTTGCCTCGACCATTATCGGCCCTTATGACAAAATCAAACATCCTGCTTGCAGCAAGGTATTAATTTGGAATTTTTATTTAAATTATTACAAATTTTTTTCAGGCAGTTGATTGGGAAGTTGAATTAGTTGTTGTAATAGGAAAAGTAGCAAGAAACGTCAAAGCCAAAGATGCTTTTGATTACGTTTTTGGATATACAGCAACTCAAGATTTAACAGCAAAAGATTGGGTGCATCAAAATGGTGGTCAATATTTGCTGGCTAAAAATATGGATCATTTTTGTCCCATAGGCCCAGCAATAGTGACCAAAGAGGAAATTCTGGATCCACATAATGTCAACATTAAAACTTGGGTCAATGATGCCCTAAAACAAAACGGAAATACCAAAAATATGATTTTTAAAATTGATCAATTGATTGAATATTTGTCCAGGTAATTTAATAAAATGTATTTACGAAAAGGTATAAATATTGTTGTTTTTAGTGTAATTACTCTTTTGCCGGGTGATTTAATTTGTACCGGCACTCCAGCTGGAGTGGGTTCTACCAGAAACCCACCCGAATACCTTAAGCCTGGAGATGTTTTGAAAAGCGAAGTTGAAGGAGTTGGAATCCTTGAAAACCTAGTTACCGAGTACAAGGATTACAACAAATTATTGTAATTAATATGTTAAATAGTCATTAAAAGGGTGTTTGTTTGTTAGAAACGAGATAACAGGGTCTAATAAACGTTTAAGGATGATAAATTACGTGTTTTGTATTCCAACCGGCGGGATAAGCTTTTTGTCAGTAGCTACCACTTAAAATTGAGTGGGTAGAGGCTTTTGTACCCTTTTGATTGTCTTTATAATGTCAAAACAGAAGCGCAACAACTCATGTATAATAAAATATGTGATTGACTTTTTTTTTAATGAAATTCTTACCCTCTTCGTCCAGGTGGTGGGATTGGCACGCTGTAAGACATCAGCCATCTTCTAGCAGAGCAGGAATAGTAAGGGTAAGTCCACCAACCGCGGTAAGACACATTGGGTGGACTCTCGATGAATTTTGGCGAGCGTAAGCCAGGGCTGGAGTCTGCGTCTTCATACCTGTAATTTTATTTCAGCAAAAAGGAATTTTAGATCATGTAAGAAGATTCTTAGGATTTTCACTGAATCCTGAGTTATGTTTTTGAAAAGTGAAATACAATCTTCCATAAATTGAGTAATTTCCCAAAAACTATATTATTTTTAAGGCATTGAAAGAGTACATAATCAAAAGCAATTTGAGGACAGTATTCCTCTGGTACTTCGTTCAAATCTCGAAGAAAAAAAAGACTGAGGTACTGAGATTTGAAAAATGATGAACCAGAGACTTCTCGACCACAAAAGGAAATCATCATTTTTCTTATACAGGATGTCCCACGTCGTTTTTTCCAGGGAATAACTTTGGAACGCGTCATCTAATATAATTGAAATTTTGAGGATCTGGGTAACTTTTTGTACCGTTTCTACCATTGTCATCCAATTTCACCATTTTCGCTTCAATTTCGGTCAAGAAAATTAAATTACAAAAACGGCAATATTTATTATAGGGCTTTGTTAAAGAAAATGCTAAAAAATTATACAAGTGGAACATACGATGATGTGTTCCGAAGTTACCATTTGGGAAAAACCTCGTGGGACACCCTGTATATTGGCAATTAAACAGCTACCAGTGCAAGAAACTTCACTTTTTTAATTCAAAGTACTAAAAGATAACATAAGAGTCGCAAGTCTCAACAATTCTTACCAAGGATAATCCGTGGTAGGTCTGTGACCGACCTCCAAAACCGTTTCGGTCACCTTCTTCGGACCACCCATTTCTAATCCCTGTTTTTGCCACCAGGCGCAATTTATCAAGGTTCCTGTGGTGGCGTTCATCGCTAGTACTCGAGCCGATAATACTGATTGGTCAGAGACCAAAATGTTTTTGGAAATGGCATCTTGAAGACCTGAAACAAATCCAAATATTTGAGTTAGAGAATACTGAATTGAAAAAGACCCAATACGGTTCTGTTATATACAGGGTGTTTGGTACATCAATATCTTTATTTCAATGAGTGATAGTTGGGGTCATTTGGAAGCTGTTTAACCATATTTACTCTAATGAAAAGTTTCGCCGTTTTTTGAGATATCGCCATTTTTAAATATTTTGAATCAATGTATTTTAACACATAACATATTATTTGTATCAATCATTTGGGTTTTTTTCCGTATTTTTCGAAAGAGTGCATATTAGGAATATCGGAAAAAAAATTGAAAAAGGTCAGAGTGTTTACTACCATAGAAAAACAATATGTTCTAGGAAAAAATCAAAAATATCGAAAAATGCTGATATCTCAAAAACGACGAAACTCTGCATAATGGTAAATGTGGTCAAACAGCTCTTAAATGCAGTGGCGGCTCGTCAGAGAAGGCAGAGGAGGCTAATCCTCCCCCAAAAAATTGAAAATTCAATCTCAGTTTTGTATTCCTGATTTCTAATAAAATAATAATTCACAGAATTCCAATTTTCGATATTTCAATGTAATTTAGAAAAATCTGACAACATTGTTTCAATCAATCTCGCGCCTCCACGACAAAAATCTGTGAATCTGGGATACTCAGTAATACCGGCCCGAAGGGCCGGAGTTATATGCGAGCCCGATGGGCCGGAGTTATATGCGAGCCCGAAGGGCCGGAGTTATATGCGAGCCCGAAGGGCCGGAGTAATACGAGCCCGAAGGGCTAGAGTTATACGCGAGCCCGAAGGGCCGGAGTTATATGCGAGCCCGAAGGGCCGGAGTGATACGAGCCCGAAGGGCTAGAGTTATACGCGAGCCCGAAGGGCCAGAGTTATACACGAACCCGAAGGGCCGGAGTTATTCACGAGCCCGAAGGCTAGAGTTATACGCGAGCCCGAAGGGCTAGAGTTATTTTAATCACGGGACTCAGTTTATAATTCTATTGGTCAGCGAATAATTTGGAGCCAATCAAAAACCGAGAATATTCAAAATGCGATTTTTAGCGTCCGATCAAAGAGCCGGGAATATTCGAAAACTTTACTTTTATCAAATTGACTTTGGAATGTTGGTTTCCTCAAGATTTTTACTTTTTTCAGAAAACGGTGGTTTTTGCAAACATATACTACCTTATCGTTGTCTTTGTCTTACTCACTATAATCAATAAGGAAACCTTGTAATGTCATTTTCATTGAAATTAAACTAAAAACAAGTTTCCCATGATTTATTTGGGGAATTTTAATTATTATAATCATTATATTAATTAATTATTAAATTGAATTTTTAACAAAAAACCCTTTTAAAATGTTATTTTTGTTTTCCGAAATGAGATGTGGCAACGTTGCTTTTAGTTGGCCTTTTTGAAGTGACGTCTTGTAATTTTTTGCCAGTTTTTTTCTCGAATTTTTGACTTTTCCGGAGTTTTTTATTGGAAAAAAGCGATTAAACATATGAGGTTTTGAGTTTTCTTCATTTTTTAGTAAAATTTTCTAGTTTTAAATGCCATAATTAGCAAAATCCCATTTAAAATGCTTTGATGTGGCAACACCGCTTGTGGCTAAATTCAATCAAGGGAGCATTTTTGACAGTCGGTCATTTTCAATTGACGGGTTTACATTTTTATTCAGTTTTTCTTCGAATTTTTCCTTTTCCGGGGCTTTTTCAGTCGGGAAAACTGATTCAAAGTACGAGGCTTTGAGTTTTCTTCATTTTCCACCAAAAATGTCCAGTGTTTTAACGGGGTTAGTGAGAAAAACTTTAGTTTTATCAAGTAGGTTTTGGAATGTCATTTTCGTCGGTTTTTTTTTTGGAATTTTTATTTAAGGTTTTTGGGGTCCAGGGATCGTTTTCTATTACTTTTTTTCTCGAAATTTACAAAATTTTTTAAAAAAAAACTTTTTTGACGTTGACAGCTGTCAATTTTTTTTGACGCAAATCGATAGTTGGCGTCGTGAAACTGCCTTGTACCGGGGTTTAATTTTCGTAGCTTTTATAGTAGAGCGGGGAAAAAGTCAAACATGTGTCAAATTTGACAGGTGACAATATTGCCAAAGTGTAATGTGACAAAAGTTTTATCCGAACGAACCCGTTCATTATTAACTGATTTTTCATACTCCGGCCCTTCGGGCCGTAATCTTTGAAACAAAAAGACGTCATTTTGTATCGATTGTCAAAAAAACCCAAGGTTTGAAATTTCAATTTTTTGACGTTTGTTGTATCATGAGCAGTGTTGCCATATGTTTTTTTTTTTTCAAATCTCGAGCTCGAAGGGCCGAGATTATAGGTTATTTTAAAGCCAATCAAGAGCCGGGAATAATCAAAATTCGAATCCCCAAACCAATCAGGAGCCGGGAAAATTCAAAAATTCGAATTCCAAACCAGACGGGAAATTGAATTTTTTATACTTGTTACTACATGTTGTTATATAAATCTCACCCTAAAATCCACTAAAAAACGACCTTTGTTTTTCGGAAAAAACAAAAGTTTTTTTTTTTTTGAGATTGACAGCTGTCAAAATTTTAATGGGCATATAAATTTAGCCTCGGCGAATACGTAGGAAGTACGATTTTTTTTTTAACATATGTCAAAAAAGACGTGCGGCGTTGCCAGGCGGTTGGTTTTTGACATATATCGATGAAACTTCTTATTTTAGGGTTTTCGGAGCCTAGGGATCGTTTTCTGACATTTGTTTTTTGAAATAAAGAAAAGATAAAAATTTTTGACATTGACAGTTGTCAAAATTAAAAAAAAAAAACTACTTTGAAATTTCAATTTTTTAACATTTGTTGTATCATGAGCAGTGTTGCCATGTGTTTTTTTTTCAAATCTAGAAATAGAATATTATGAAAAATTCCCTTCCCTCGAAGCAGAAAGTTTCTCAAGCCCAATTCTGCAAGAGGTTCAAATTCCTCGAGGGGGCAACACTGTCACCAGAAGAAGTGGGCCAACTGACACCCAGGAAAATAGCTTCCTTCGGCAGAAGTCTACGCTTCCTGGAGACAAATTAAGATGTAGAGTCACGCACAAAATATCTGCAAAGGTAGCAGTGCAGAGCGGCTGAAAAGCCGAAACGACTCCCCCGAAATCTACAATCTACAATCTACGAGGGCGGCCAAAGAGCTAAAACCGGCCCTGACATCGGAGAGAACTGAAACTCGGAATATCAACTAAAAATCACATTTTGGATATTCCCGATTTTTGATTGCCTCCAAATTATCCACTCAAAGTATCCACTGACCAATAGAATTATAGACTAGGCCCAGGCCCCGTGAATAAAATAACTTTAGCCCTTCAGGCTCGCGTATAACTCCGGCCCTTCGGGCTCGCGTATAATTCTGGCCCTTCGGGCTCGCGTATAATTCTTGCCCTTCGGGCTCGCGTATAACTCCGGCCCTTCGGGTTTGCGTATAACTCCGGCCCTTCGGGCCGGCAAAATTTGGAAAGTGTAATTTGTGAATTATTATTTTGATTAGGAATGAGGAATAAAAAACTGAAATTGAATTTTCAATTTTTTGGGGGAGGCTTAGCCTTCCCTGCCTCCTCTGACGAGCAGCCACTGTGAAAATTTGTATACAAGTTGGTCAAAATCCCAGAAAAACTCGTAAGATCTACTTAAAATCACTGAAAATCTTTAAAATCTTTTAGCCTCCTCACTTGAAATAGTTATGAGCCGTCACTGCTTAAATGACGCTATCACTCATTGAAAAATTCCTATCGATGTACCAAACACCCTGTATAATAAGATCACATCATAATAACAAAATAATTCCTATTGTTTTATAAGTTAATAAAAAAAAATCAGCCTATATAATATAGAGGAGAGATAAAGACCAGATATCGTCGTTTATCTCTTGTTTGCGAACCATGTTTTTCTGAAGTACCTTATAGTCACATTCTGATGCTTCAGTTCGTCACATAGTTTAATTGTAAATGATGTTTTAAGTGACTGAGAAGTCGTTGATTGGCAGCAGATTTTGTGGGATATTATTTGATCAGAAGCAATATTCTAAGCGAAAATGTAAGTAATTCTTGTTTCTCATTCATTACATAATTCGATAAGTAGTTAGGTATCTATAATTTGAAATATTGATTATGCCATTCATATAAAGAAGTACCTAGGTACTAAAATTTAGGATACAGCAATATAACAGCAAATTATTATTTTTATAAAATTATAAATAAAATGTGGGATTTGGGTAAATAAGACATCATAAAATCGTCGGATTAAATGACAGATATAATGTCCTGAAAGCTTGAATTTAAAGAGATTTATTATAGATCATTGTTTCTATTTTATATTAGGAAATACTGTCAAAACATATAATAAATGCATTAGGTGTATTTTATAAATACAATAACATGCTAAGTAGGTACAATGCCCTTATTTCAAAAATGTATACAGGAACAAATATTTGTTGTAATTATTGATTGATTAAACAGTATGGATGTAAACTGATGTCATGTACGAAAAGAAGGTAGGTACAGGGTGTTTTTTTTTATATATTTACACCCCATCTACAGCCTTTACCTTTGGTATCCCATTTGCAAAAAGCTGGGAGCATACAAAATTTCACATTTCTGGCATTCAAATTTTGTTTCTGAGCATGATTTTTAAAAATTCAGCCAAAACTGTACAACTTTTGTGTTTACTTTCTTCTACCTGTAAAAGTAAATGCTGTAAGGTCGAGTGTCAATATATAAAAAAAAATACCTTGTACAAATAAGTGGATTAGTGCGGAATTTATGGGTGAACCTCTGCGGGACGAGCGAGGCGAGTTCCGCAGCCATCTACCGTCAAACGGGGTGACTCTGGACTACGGGTTGACTTGGGACACTTGGGCGCGCGCTTCCATAAAAATTGGCAACAGGGGTGAGCAAGGTGGGAGGTCAACATAAATATTCTGGGGATTAGCATACACTTTGAGGTCTTTAATACACCTAATGCGGGCGGCACCGGGTGAGTCTTTACAGCGACAAAAAATTTGTTTTCAAAGTATAGAGAATCGGTGTTTTTTCAAACCGCTACAATTGTTGTCTGTAAATATATCAAGGTAAGTGATGACATGTATGTTTTATTTATTTTTTTGTCCGCTAATATGTTGTTAAAGATGTAATAAGGTCGTTTTTGCTCAGAAATTTTTATTTATTTTTTTGTGATAGAAAATCTGATTGAATGCACTTTTTAGGGTGACTCGGGACATGCCTCGTAAATATGTTAGGAGGCTTGGCGCAAGGCCATATCAAAATTACGACAAAAAAAGACTTGAAATGGCCGTTAGGGAAAGGTTAGCGAAACAAACAAGTTATAGAGAGTTAGAGGAACGGTATGGGGTATCCAGAAATACCATTAATCAGCATGTCATCAAACAAAATTTAAAAAAACCTGGGGGTCAATTGGCCTTAGCTGAAGCAGACGAAAAAAAAATAGTGAATTCTTTGTTGTGTGTTGCCGATTGGGGATTTCCCTTAGAACCAATGGATATACGGATTTTGGTAAAACAATACTATGACAGAATGGGTGTAAACATAAAAAGATTTACAAATAATATGCCAGGGCCGGACTGGATGAAATCATTTTTATTGCGCCACAAAAATAATTTGGCTTTAAGACTTTCCGAAAACATTAAACGAGCAAGGGCTGCAGTTGACAGGCAAGCAATAAATGTCTATTTTGATGAACTAAACTTATCTCTAGAAAACATTCCTCTTGCGAACATCGTGAACTATGATGAGACAAACTTCACGGACGATCCGGGCCGTCAGCGTGTCGTTATTCGCAGAAGCAACAAACATGCAGACCGTATTCTTGATTCCAGTAAAACATCAACATCAGTCATGTTTGCAATTAGTGGATCTGGTGTAATGTTGCCGCCATACGTGGTGTTCAAATCAGAACATCTCTATGAAAACTGGATAAGAAATGGACCACAGGGTTCTAGATATGGAAATACAAAAAGTGGATGGTTCGATTCAAATCAATTTGAACAGTGGTTTTTGACTATAGCATTAGGCTACTTCCGAAGACTTGAGGGGCCTAAGGTTGTAATAGGCGATAACCTGAGTAGCCACATCTCCCAAAATGTCATCATGGAATGTCAAAAAAATAATATCAGATTCGTTTTGCTACCTCCCAATAGCACCCACCTTACACAACCTCTGGATACAGCATTTTTTAAACCACTCAAGCAATCGTGGAGAAAAATTTTGTTAGAGTGGAAGAAAAAAAATAAAGGAGTACTCCCAAAACCTGAGTTTCCAGGCTTATTAAACAAAGCTTTGGATAATATTGGAGACAAGCTAGAAGACAACATAAAGGCTGGATTTCGTTGTTGTGGTCTTATTCCACTCGACAGGGATCAGGTCTTGAAACGTCTACCCCCAGAGCCTGTTCGAGAAGATGAGGGCCAACTAGCTTGGACCGAAACGCTCACAGACTTTTTAAAGAACCAGCGAACTCCAACAAACCCAGCAAAGAAAGGTAAAGGAAAGAAAATTCTAGTAACACCCGGTAGAAGTGTGACATGTGAAAGAAGTTCTGACTCCGATTCTGACAATAGTGAAATGGAGATGGAATTAAATAGAAGTGAATCTGATGATAATGGGAGCATACAAGACATAGAGTCTGAGGGAGAAGAAAGAAATCAAAATGAAGATGTGGAAAACCTGGAAGAAGAGCCAGAGGAAGTGACTGATTTGCACATTGAAGATTTTGCAATTGTAAAATTTACAGACGGAAAGTTTTCGAAAAATTTTGTGGGAAAAATTTTAGACAAATCTGGTGACCAAATAAGAATCACTTTTTTAAGAGAACATTCGAAAATAGAAAATGGCTTTGCTTTTCCAATAGTTCCCGATGAATCCACAGTAAACATTTCCCAGGTTTTGAAAATACTTCCAAGACCTGTGGAACTGCGAAGAGGTGCAGTTAAATTTCCATTCCAAATAAATTTGAAAAATTAGGTAGACCCATTATTGTTATCGAAAGAAATGACCTTTTTTTTTATAATTTCTTGTGTAGAAATTTTTTTATTTTGTTCAAAAATCAATAAAAATAATGTTTACTTTTTTAAAAATTTCTATTTTTGTCCCGTCTCACTCCAGAAACGCCTTACAATGGTTTCTAGTGCTAAATAAGTGCTTGTCCCTAGTCACCCCGAAAACGGGGTGAAACGGGACAATTTTCAAAATTTAAAAAAAAATATTTAAGATTTTCGAAAAAATATTATTTTTAGCATACGTGTTCCCAAAATATGTAGAAACATGTAGCCACCTTAAAATTGCCATTTACTAATTCTGGTCATGAAATATTCACAAAAAAGTGTCAAATCCGTCCTTAGTCACCCCGTTTGACGGTACTCACCAATATGCTGTTGAACTGTTCAAATAAGACACTTACCTGAAATGTGTAGGTTTTGAACTAATAAGAAAAATTCACAACTGACCGAATCAGGTTAGTATTGTACTTGAACAAGATATTGGTGAATAGATGGCTGGATCCACCCATAAGTTCCGCAACAATCCACTAGTTTGTATTTGAATAACTTGTCACAATAGATTACTAGTTTGGTGAAGTAACATTACTAATTCCTGTTAAAAGGCAAATTGACAAAAAGTGGATAATCTGACAATCTGACAAATTCTGGCTGTATATAATAAGTTACCGTTCAAGTACAAATAAGTGGATTAATTCGGAACTTATGGGTGGACCTCTGCGGGACGAGCGCAGCGAGTTCCGCAGCCATCTACTTACCAATATACTGTTGAACTATTCCAATAAGACAATCACCTAAAACGTGTAGTTTTTGAACTAATGAGAATAACTGACATTTTAGTGAGTCAGGTTAGTTTCGTACTTGAACAACATATTGGTGAATAGATGACTGCGGAACTCGCTGCGCTCGTCCCGCAGAGGTCCATTCATAAGTTCCGCAACAATCCACTTGTTTGTACTTAAATAACTTGTCACATTATGTTACTAGTTTGGTAAAGTAATATTACTAATTCTTGTTAAAAGGCAAATTGACAGAAAGTGGAAAATCTTTCAATTCGCGAGAATTCCTTTTGGTGTTACCAATGGAGTTGCTAGTTTTCAAAGAGTTGTTGACAGTATAATCAAGAAAGAAAATCTTCAAGGCACATAAGCCTATCTTGATGGTAAGACTCAAGAAGAGCATGACAAAAATCTTCAAAAATATTATGTTCCTAGTTTGGTAAAGTAACATTGCTAATTTCAGTTAAAAGGCAAATTGACAAAAAGTGGATACTTAATCTTACAAATTCTGACTTTCTATAATAAAATATTTCTAACCAATCAAGAGCCGGTAATAATCAAATTTTTAACTATTATGGTTATTGAGGAAAACTAATGCCGATAAAAATTAGAATTTGGATCAGACTTTTACTTAAGGTATTCGCAGAAATTCAAGTTTTTCAAATCTTTCAAAGATATTGAATTATCATTTCATTCAAAAACACATATTTATATTATTGTCAATAATATTTTCTTTGTAAACCAGCAATATCCGATTGATTTTATATTTATATTAGCCAAAAATTTAAAGATAAGATCCCCTGAATTTGCAACTTAATAAAATGATTACATTTCTGACGCATATTCATATAAGTAATCTTCAAAATTAGAAGTATATTAATATACATTATCAGCAGCTAATTTCAGACAAGAATTCTATAGGAAATAAGTACTTATAAAAGTTATTGTATTCTAAAAATTTTCTTGTTCGATTGATTAATTATTCGAATTATTTAATTTAAGTAGGTAACAAAGTTCCGTATGATTTAGATTTTGAAAACTTTGAAAAGTTTTTTTCTATTATAGATAGGTACCTGAAATTTCCAATGGCGTACTACAATCCCTCAAAATTTTAGCTCATTTGGACTTATAATTTTGAAATTTCATCGTTTAAAGATAAAAAATAAAAACCAAATTTCCAGTTTTCTTTATTAAACTTAAGATATTTCATATTGATTTATTGTCTTTTGATAACATCTTATCTATTT